CACGAGAGAAGTCGATATCATGATAAAACACCATAAATGTGTTTTTTACATTGTTAGGATAGATATCCAATAATCAGTTTTGTATTGAAAATAACTTTCTGCGGAAATAATACACACGGAAGACAGGTGGATGAGAATTTATTTTGCCTTAGGCAACCTTCAGACTAATGTTTGGATGACGGTGTTATTGGGCAGTTGAGATATAAAAATTACTGTTATAAATCTTGCATTAAATACTGCATTTTGTTCCGATGTTTTCTTTCAAGGGACCACAGTGGAGGAAATCAGGTTTTAAGGAAGATTTACAAGTGTCCTGTATATGGTTGCCCACATGACAACATTCCAGGATTAACTAAGTATGTTATTTCCTATTTGTAAAAAAACGCACATTGCAACATTCATCAAGGATTCACTTGCAATCGTTCTGAGTGCAATGCAACTCCATCCATTTCAGCTAATCACAAAAAAAACCTCCCCCGTAATGCACCCAATCTTGTCAGAGATCAGGAGTGAAACAGATTTTAGCCTGAACAGTATTCCAAAGGACGGCTGCTTCAAGGCTACATTGTCAGCAGATGGAAGTGCAACAAAAATCTATGCTTTCCACCTTCGCCAACCCCACTGACCAATGTGGTCAAGTGTGTTCATATAAACCCACGTCCCGTACGGCATGGGGAGGCCCTCATCCAGCATATGTAACGTACATATACGGGACATGATGCATTAAGTCAAATCCAGCTGCTGAGAACATTTAAACTACTGTACAATATCTGCTACCAAATATCCACAGAGACATGCAAACTAAAAGGGAGTTTACAGATTGTATTGCCAACAACAACTTGCCCATCAACTAAGACCTCAACAATGTACCTCGGCTATACCTAATAAATTAAACTGAAACTGACTCAAGTCCCGATCTCCCTTCTGAGATCACGCTGTCACCAACCTTGAATCTCACCCAAATCCAGAAAAATGCTGGCGAACAGAGTGGAACAACGCAAATGTTCAGAATAAACACCTCTTTCGAGACACAAATATCGCACCCCCCCCCCCCTGCTTTAACATTCCTCAAAGACACTGGTGTACTATTAACCACATAAGAACATCAATGGGCCGATGGGCACATTGCCTTAATAAATGGAAAATTAAAGACAAGTCACAGTACAATTGTGACCAATTGGTGTTTACCATGTGTAAAGAAGCAAGAATAGCCAAATTAATCCGACTCATTACGTGACCACCTTGCAGGCCAACCCTAAAGCTGGTAATTCTAGGTAATCTCCCATCCAAGTGCAGCAGAGTTCGATTAACTCATGGCAAGACCTAGCCATGGATCCTATAATCTGCAGTACACCGTACAAAATCCAATAATTTGCAGCAAAAACATTTGCGCCATGGCGGTGTATCATCGATATTTGGGGTTTTTAGTTGCGCAACTCTGTTAATGTGGCGAAAATTTGGATTGCATAAGTATTGCATGTGACTATAAACTTCAATAATACACAAAAAAATATTGTAGTTTCTCCTGAAACCCATGTTAAATATTTTTGCATACAAGACTTAATTTTTAAGTCTAACCCATGCAAAAATACTAACTACTCAACACAATAACGTTAGCAGTCTGTGATATACACCAAAAACAAATTTTGCTCCATTTTGTCTGCATCTCCATTTGTCTCTCAGCAGTTGTTTATCTTTGCATCTCCGCAGTGCACCATAGTTTATGGGAGAGCTCCAAGAATCAGCGGAAAAGTGACATTTTAGGATCCACCACCACCGCGGATTACAGGAGTTGTCGCAAACTCACGCTCAATCACGCTAAGTTGTCAGATCTTATGAGATTGGCTGCACGGATGGTCATTCGAATGATCACTTTGAATGGTGGAATATTATTTGTGTGTAATGGAATATTTGACGATGTAAAAGTATACCTGTTCAGTCATAAATATAGTGATGGAGACTAAAGGGGTATAGAAAATTATTTTAAATATTAATACTTTCATGGATACTGACATTTACCACCGTTCCTTTTTATGAGGTTTTTAAAATTGATAGTGTTATTCCTTTAATATCATTGCTCCTCTGACCCATCACAACACTAACTTTATTTTTTTACGATCATGAATCCTTTATTCAAGTGGCACTAGGCTCCACAAGAAATTCATATTAATCTTTTGCATCACATATTTCAAAGTCATTAAAAAACTGCATTATTTAAGGAATACACCAATGTACTTGTATACAAAAGTAGCATGGCAATACAGTGGTATTTGTAGTAAGCCCATATGTGCACTGGTGTAAGTGGGATCAACTGTATGGACTGCAGCCCCGTGGCTGATGGAGAGGAGCTGCGGTTTGGACGGCTCTGTTTCCGTGCCCGATTCACCCCAGGCCACACGGTGGGGCACATGGTTTACGTGTTGGATGGCCAACCCTTTGGTGCCCCTGACTGCCTCTTCTCTGGAGACCTACTTTTTCTCGCTGGCTGTGGTAAGATTGTGAAATCGCCTACATTTTATTTACCACAATTTATAGTAATTCCACTGCTGCTTTATGTTATAGTGTAACTTGATTTTTTTTGTAATTTTACTGTATTTGTTATTTCACCAGGCAGAATGTTTGAAGGAACACCGGAGACTATGTTGTCATCGCTAGACATTGTAAGCAGTCTGGCAGACAGCACACTGCTATTTCCAGGTACATTGGGCATCTGATGATTCCATTTCAAAGTAAATAAGGTTTCCATGATATAATTTATCACAATGCGATATGATTCTATATGAAATTTCACGATGACTTATCGCGTTACCAGTTTCCCATATCTAAAAACAATTAGTATTTTAGAGCAGTTTACGGAACCGTACATCCAGCACCAATAAAAACACTTTAAAGTTCTTCAATGCACTTTACTAAAGTCTGACGTAAGTCTGTCGCCATTACAAAAATTATTAGCTGTAAACTTGTGATCATCACACAAAAAAAATACCCTGTTCTCATGTGGTCGATTAGTAAAGAAATTATTCTTACCAATTTGAATGTTTATTTCTGTACAACTTTAATCATTGAGCATGTTATTTTACAAAACTATTTAAGAAATAAGATACTGAAGAGAGATAAAATAGCTTTCCAGACGATTTGTGGATCTTATACACACTATTGATGTTTTAAATTTGAAACAAGGCCAATTGTGATGAAGTGTAAATCCCACGTGCACCATGAATGTTGTGTTCCTGGAGAGCAGGCCATGAGTGTGCACTTGACAACCTCAGCTTTGCGGTTGAGATGGAGCCCGATAACCCAGCCATCCTGCAGAAGCTAGACTGGGTTGCACAACAGCGACGAGAGAAGCTGTCTACGGTGAGATGCTTCACACATGATATTTAGAGATTTCACGGCAGTGCCGTTTTCAAAAATTTCCTTAATTTTCCCATGAAAAATCATCGCTGAATTTCTATTTTTAGGAGGGTCCTGCATTGGGATGTTTTGCAAATTATATTAAAGTGTTAGGATGTGAAAGGAAAATGGAATATCTGGTGAACCCCCACTTGCTCAAAGCTCCACACATTCCTGTAATGCCATCTCCAACTCTGGAGGTTGCGACTGGCACTGATGATCACCAAATTACATTTGAAAATATGGTGACTTTAGGGTAGTTTTCTTTGCAGTTTTTACCATTAAATATTGCAATTTTTATTGTATCTGCTGAATAGTTTACATAATTTTTGTTTGTAACAATGCATCCGAGTACCTTTAGAAAATATTTGTTAGTATTACATATTTCTGAAACACTAAAATAAGCAAATCTTGCTTTGAGATACGTGAACTGGTACATGTTGGGATTCTTCCAATTGTTAAAAAAGAGTGATGTGCCCGTCACTAGTGCCCATCAAGCATCGGGGAAGAGAAGCAGTACAACCCTTTTCTACGCACACGGTCCACGGCATTGCAGGCTGTGCTGGGGCTTGTTCAGCCTGCAGGAACCGAGGAGAGTGATTTCCATGCACAAGTGCTGGAGGATCTGCGGCATCGCAAGGACTCCTTCAAAGGAAAAAGCTAGCTGCCACCACCAGACTCCTTCATACATAGCTGCATTTTAGCTGTTATTTTGACAAGGACTCCAGAAGAATGGCTTTGCAGTGTGAAGTACCATCAGAGCACCTTCTGAAGAATCGATACATGTTCTGTCCACAGGTCTGATGCAAATCGTTCCTTCATGTTACCGTCTTCCACTGCTCTCTGCGTACAACCTTTGAGCAGTCAATCTGAAGATGAATACTCACCAGTTTACGTAATTGCCTTTGCATGGGAAACGTGAATAACCATTTGAGGACCACGATTCATTTGAAACTTTCAAGGTTCAGGTTACAAAACAATACAGTGGCCTACTTTGGGGTCTTTGAAGACTATGTAATGTACAGCATAGCAATATGTATTGGTAAAGTCCTGCACCATTCCAGGTCAGGCAGATGAACCAAACCATAAGTGGCTACACTATTGCAAAGGACTATTTCAAAATGTACAGGTTAAGCCACATACACTGGTGATACTTGGCAATAGGTGCATTATGAATAAAAAATTGTATACATTTAACACTGTTTTAATATCACTACTGCATGATTTACAAATCAACATGCCAAAAACCAAGCTTGGGTTAAAAGGGTACATCTTTGTGCAAATTGTTTTGATATTAAATGTTAAGAGTTCAGTGATGTCTGCCTTAGGAATATTTTTATAAATAAGCATTGTCTACACAAGGACTTCAATTTGGTGCAACAGAAGCAATTACTGCATTAAATCCCAAGCCAAGATAATCAAACGCTTGAGTTTCTACTTGTACTACTTTGCTCCTGCATTTTAAAGTGTCTTATGAACAATTATAAACCTATTTCAAATTACAAATGTCACAGCTGTAGAGGTCCCTTAAAACTGGCAGCATCATTTTATAGTGCAATGTAGTATAAAATCTAACCACGCAGTAAATAGATTACCAAAATTCCAAGGTATTTCTACTATATTTTATTACATCGTATACACAGTGGGCTGTACACAAGTCATACTTCACCATTTCATTCTGAAAAAGTATTTCATCCTTAGTAAATATATTAAGTGAAAATAATTGGAGAGCAATAGGTTCTCCTGCACTGGTCATTTCTTGAAATACTGCAAATGGTGAGCCTGTGCAAAACACGAGCCAAGCTGATGACATCAGCAGTGTCGTCACTCGGCATTGAATATTATCAGGAGCTGATACCACAAACATTGGTAGGGCAGTCTGCAAGACCAATTGTACAGCCTCACCGACATACTTTGCCAACTTAAATATTGGTGGGGAAAATTAAATTGTTCAAAACGTGGCATTTCGTGATTAAGTTATCAATCGAAGTCATTCATTTTATAGGCCGCCAAAAGGCTAGTTTACAGCCTCAGTCAAGCACATTAGATATATAATTAATGTATTTACATAACAGTAAAATATAACAAAACAGTGACTTATATTAACAAATAGTCCTAATGTATTGCAGCTTTTTTAAAAAGCAGCTATGCAGGGCACAGTGCAGGAGCTTCATGCACTAATGTAGGCTTTGGGCACTCAAGATATCTGGCACAATCTATAATGTGGAGTTCAACGTTTCTACTTTTGATATCGGATGTTTGGCCAGGGGGCCAACGGCAAGCGTATCTTTCACTTTTGGTGAAAATGACAGGTGGTGCAGACATTTCTTCTGGTTAAGTTACAGTTGAAGGTAATTCAGCTGAAGGCAGCACAGTACAAGCTTTGCATGCCTTGGCACTGCAGAAGCTTATCACATGTCAACAGACTTGGTGAGGTTGGGATCATTGTCCACAACCTTATTCTTTAGGTGCTCCTTATAAGCCTGAATGCCTCCTTTCCACTTGGTGATTGTTGCATGTTCACACACCCAAATCTCTTGAGCAACCTGTAACAAAAGATTTGCAAGTTAGAATTTTGTAACCCACTAATCATCCACCCAAAATTTTCACTCATGTCCCCAATGTAATGTTTTGGTTTACCCTTGGCAATGTGAAAACATGCATGTGAAAAGCATATTAAGTAGAAATCCAACAATGTGGATGTTTGTATGACATCACCTGAAAGAGGATGTTTCTTCATATACATCTATTTCTAGTTCTTAGAGATTAACATGTAATTTAAAACACCTTTTTGCAAGTTAACAAGTGGTAGACTTAAAGAGATGGAATGAATGCAAAGCTACAGGTTTAACCACAATGTAACAATTATTGCGTAAAAAGGGAGCATCTCCCACGATGGCAATCCACTTTTAGTCCAATAAGCGACATTCATAATCCTAAACGATAGCCTGCTATGAAAACACCGATTTTTGCATTACCTGCTGGATGAGACGGAAGTCATGGCTAACCAGCATCATTCCACCTTCAAACTCATTGATGGCTTCTGCCAGTGCGTCGATAGTCTCCATGTCCAGATGGTTGGTAGGCTCGTCAAGGAAGAGCATGTGTGGCGTTTGCCAAGCCAGCCAAGCAAAGCACACGCGGCACTTTTGACCATCCGAAAGGCTCCGGATTGGACTGACCTGCATAGTACATGGTCAAACAGTTAGAAATACATAAACACATACCAATTTCATAACTTGCACAAACCAAGTTTGGCAGTGAGCTTCAGTGCTGTAATTTACTTACTTGCTGTTTTCCTGTCAATCCGTAACGGCCAATTATCTTCCTCATATCCTCTTTTTCTTTCACGTCTGGGTAGCACTTCATCATGTAGTCCAGAGGGGATAAGTCAAGGTCCAGTTGCTCTGTCAGATGCTGCGCAATATCAAAGAATGCAGGTTTAACAAATTACTGTAAGATTCCCCACGAAACTAAGAGTAAAAATCAATGACCAAGAGCACTAATAATCACAACTACCACTTGTATTAAAAAAATATATAAGCCTACCTGGTGATACCGTCCAATCTTCACATGAGAGTGCTTTCTGATCATGCCATCTGTAGGAAGAAGCTAAAGAACAAAATAAGTGTAAATCCCATGTTACATAACATTAATTAACATGTAGCATTACAAATACTGTACAATAAAAAAAAACATGCAAAGAATTCTCACCTCTCCAGCCAAAAGCTTGAGTAGAGTTGATTTTCCAGCACCGTTGGGCCCCACAAGTGCAACTCGAGAGTCCAGGTCAATTCCAAACTCAAGGGCTTTGTAGATCAATGGCTGTACAAGTACATAACATTGAGATTATTATAATACAGTTCTTCAGCAGTCTTGTTAAAATGGAATTGCACTCCATGCCAAGGTCAGTTTGAATTTCGCTTCAAGGTATTTTTTTCATCGCACTCCAAGCAAGAGAAACCTGTTGCCATTTTTAAGAGTGCTGGAATTCGGCCTTTTAGTTCATCATTCATTGGCAAGCTGTCAACCCCATTTAAGACATTTTTCTTGGAGGTAATGGACAAGGTACCTACCCCATCTTCAGTGTACTTAAAGCTGACGTGCTGCACCATGATGACTGGTGGAGGAATCTTGCCACATGCCGGGAAAAAGAAAGACAGCGTCTATAGGAACGAAAAACGCCAAAAAAAATAACACTTCATTATTAGAAGATATAAAGACCAAACATATTTGTAATTTGTTACAACATTTTTGGCTGTGGAAGTTATTTCAGTAAAAATATACATTTTCATTACAAACCTTGTCATTGACGATGCGCTCCGTTAATCCTGAAGCCACCATCTTTTGCAAGGTCTTTTCCTTGCTCTGGGCCTGTCGAGCTAGTTTGGCACTGCCATGACCAAACCGTGCTATGTAGTTCTGTGCAAGAAATAAAACCCAGACAACAAATGTAAGGGGTTTAAAAAATACAAATATCAATTTAAATCTAAACAGCTTTTTCTTCACAATTACACAAAGATGCCAAATGTAGATGTATCCGACATTAAAATAACTCTTAATGCCAGGTTTTAAAACAATATGGGAAAATAACCTTCATATGTGCAATCTGATCTTGCTCCCAGTTGAATTTCTTCATCTGATGATCCTCCAACTCCAGTCTGGTTTTCACGTATTGATCGTAGTTCCCCTGCAAAAAGCATACTTTTAACAAAAATATCGTACCCCTATATGCTTAACTTTTTACCACCCAATGAACAGCAGATGTAATTATTAAGAACATCTTTATATTTGAAATCGTACCGTGAAAACCTTCAGCTTTCGGTTGTGCAAGTGGATGATGTTTGTACAAACGCCATTGAGAAAGTCTTGTGAGTGAGAAATGACGATCAGAATACGTTTGAACCTACAGAAAAAACAATAAACTGAATTTGACATTACTTTCAAATGCCCATATTAACAAAGTGAACAGAAAGTAAAAAAACAATGCATAAATACCTCACACTCGTAACTTTACAACATTAAATGGTGATAACGACTGAACCAGCCAGTATGAAGTGTTGTTACATCTCAGATTTTTTACTTAAGTGTTTAAGTAGGCTTTAAGAAAGTGTGCACGCACGTTTTCAGCTCCTCCTCAAGCCACACACATGCATCCAAGTCCAGATGGTTGGTGGGTTCATCTAGAAGCAGCATGAATGGCCGAATAAACAAGGCCCTGTAAACAGAGAACACAACGGTCAGGAAATAAAAATACAAAACAAGCTCAACTATAAAACCTGATGTGCTTGATACCACAGCATCAATTTGACATGATCTACATAAAATAACAAAATTGTGCAAAAAGTGTGAATTATATTTTACCTAGACAAGGCAACTCTCATTCTCCAGCCACCACTGAAGTCTTTCATTTTCTTGCGCTGCATGGCTGGAGAGAATCCAAGGCCATGCAGGATGCGTGCTGCCCTCATCTCTGCCTTGGATGCATCCAGCTCTTCCAGTCGCTCATAGATTTCCATCAGCTTTTCACTCTCGGCTATTGGAACACAAACCCAAGGAAGGTTAATTCTGTTTTGGTCCAGGCATAAAAAGATAACTCGCTATAAAATTTGTTTTAAATCTAACACAACATCCAGTGTGAATATATCACGAGAAATGCTGCCCCCCCCCCCATTACCTATGAAACAAAATAGAAAAGTCATGTTTTTGGTTAAATGGCAGCACATCAATCCCAGCACCACTAAATGATCTTCAGGGAAAGCAGACGCTTACAGTCCTCGTGGGCCAGCCTCTCCGCCTCCTTTTCCAGTACAATGCGCTCTGTGTCCACTTCCATGACACACTGCAGCGCTGTCTTGTCACTGGGTGCCATCTCCCGCGTCAGGTGGTAGATGTCTATGTGCTCGGGGATGGGCAGCTCCCGGGTGCCAATCGTAGAAAGAAGCATCGATTTCCCTGTGGTGACACCAGTGATGCAAATCATATCGCCACATCACACACATCCTTGCACACTAGAAATCATATCGTGACAAATTAATGAAACGGCACACTATGCAAATGGTGGTAAAACCAGGGAAACAAAGCTGACCTGTGCCATTGAGGCCAATGAGGCCGTAACGGCGACCAGAGTTGAGCTCCAGCTGTGTGTCAGAGAGCAGCTCCTGGCCGTGGAAGGTGAGTGACATGTTGATAATGTGCACGTCCATGCTGTTGGGGTGGGATGCAAGAACGCCTGTACAAGCCCGTGCTTCTGCTTTCTTGAGCTCCATCTCATCCAGCTGCTCCGCCAGTGCTACAACTGCCACAAACAGTGCCATTACATCAAGGGTCCATGAACACATGAATTGTACTCACAAATTTAACTCACAATTGTATAGATTGTCATGTTTTTTAATACTACACAATTTGTGAAGTAACAACTTAAAGGAATTGTAAATTATGAGAAGCAAATAACTGTTTTAAAAAAATGATTTTAAGCTTGATACATTATCCCTGCTTTAATGAATGCCGATATTAAATCAAATATATTTTCCGACATTTTAATTGAGCTACATAGAATCACTACAGACCTAACCTATCAAGGAAGACAGCAAACATGGCACTGTATACATAAATTGTATTACACAATAATTAACAAAAGGATTGTATTAAGCTGTACCAGATTCGCCATCTGCAGCCGCGCCGTTGGTCAGCTCCTCCTCGGCATTGGTCTTGCCCTTGGGCCGGGCCCCACGGCCCTTTGCCGCCTCCTTCTTCTTTGCCGCTTTCTTCTTGGCCAGGTCGGACGGCATTTTCAAAGGCTGGCTCGACACTACTACACAGTACTGCATACCAGAGACAGCCATGCGTTTAGCGTGGCACACTGCAGGTTTCTTTAAAAAAAACATTTCTGTTGAATACATTAAGAATTTTTTTTACAAAGTTATCACATTAGACCTATGCACATGAAACATGAGAATACGACTGCCAAAATGTTACATAATATACACACTGCGGTCCTGCTGGAGTAAAGTTAACTGCCGATTTGTAGTTAAATCCGTTCAAATTGCCGCACTTAAAAATTAATTAAACTTAATCCTTTGGTTCTGTTAACTAAGCCTGTCGAGACGTAATTTATTTTCCATCACCTACACCTGACGATGCAACTGCATTAATCCAGTATACATCAATTATGGTGGTCACAAAGTACACCAAAGCACTGTAAATCAAACAAGCCGATGCAGCAAAACGCCAATAAGAGATTTTAAAGCAAGCAGTTCACCGAACCACGGTTCAGCGCATATTAATAAACTAACCAAAATAGTGACTGTGCATTTAGTGTTCTTGGCCTAAGCACTGTCCAATCTATTTTTTTTACCATCCTTGCTGTGGCCACAGGCTGAGACTAAGCACAAGGGCATGCGTGGGGTGCTTGTGGGAGAAGTGGAATTAAGGGCGGAGGGAATTGTAAAGAAAAGGGTGAAAGATACAATTTAGCAAGGCAGAAGGTTAAACAGAGGGGAGAAGATGCCAACAGAATAGGTGAGTGGACCCCATGGGGAGGAGTTGCAAAGCCAGGAGAAACTGGAGGAAATTGAAAGGGAATTATGGAAGTTGGAAGAGGCTGAGAAAAAATCGAAAGCCTGATCGAGGAAAAGGCCCAGGACAAGCGAGAAGTCAACAAAGTGAATGGCAATTGACTGGGGAAACGTCAAATACAGCAGAATTTTTTTTTAATGGATGTTACCACTTTAAATCATGCAATGGACACGCAAATGAATGGATATGTGAGGGGGAAGGGAAACAGTACAAAAATAATTACCTGTAACCAAAAAACATGTTAAAGAGATACAATACACGCAAAAACAGATAAAAATTAATCAGAAAAGAATGAACAAATCAACACAAAAAAGATTCACATTACAGCGAGCTATGGCAGCATGAAAGTTTGGAAATGACATTGAGAAACGAAAGAACACTTGGATCAGAGAACGAGACAGGGGACATCATATTGACTTGCGAAAAGTGGGCTGAGCAGAACACGCAGCTATAGATATAATGGCCAAAAGGAGAGACCATGCCAGAGAGGAGGTTCCGTATTGAGATAGCGCGATAAGCTTGTGTGCTAGATGTATTGTTGCATCGCTAGATCGAGTCAATGTCAGTCCCACATTTTTTATTGCTTTGGGGAGGCATTCATAACGAGAGAGGATATTGTGGGGAATCAGCAGATGTCGGGATAGGTAGGCAAGCGAAGATACCCAGCGGAATTAGACCGAGAGTTAAAAAGGAGTGAAAGAGGCACTCAATGATCGACCGAGGAGAGTGAGAAGTTGAGGACAAAGACATAATTGCTGGATAAGGCCAAAGAAAGGCAACGGTGAAGCCAAGAATTGCACGACTGCAGAAGGGGAGGGTCGGGGCCGTAACGTATCGCAGGAGACAACGGGAGAGGTCGGCGAGCTAAAAAGACGGGGCTGTTTTTTTTTCCTTTTCAACAATTGTATCGACGTTATTGTCACGAGACGAAAGAATCCCATCGGATCTTTCGTAAGAGTAAACGCATCCTTGAAGGAATCAACTGCGGAAGGAGTTGTAGTCCTTACACTACCGCATATCCACACTAGGGGTAACGCTCCCACAATGGTCCTGTGCTTGGGAAATGGTCGTCGCATCGTCGTCCAATGTGTATAATTATCAGCGGTGGAATTTAGCAAATTTAACTGTGGAACCAACGTTTAAAAATTTTGCCCAGTCACCCCTGGCCGGGTTTAAATGATCAATTAGACTTGAGAACCCGCTTTGCTTTGATCACAGATGGCTGCGCAGATCGAGAGAGAACGGGTAAGGGAGATCACGCCAAAGAAGAAGACAACGAAAGGCCAGCATAGGCGGAGGAAGACAAAGGAGACCGGAGAAAACCACGAGGATCAGGAGATTCGGAGCGCCCGGAAAAGAGAAGACGAAAGTCGCTAAATGGCGGTCGAGGTTAGGAAAGGTTAGGATCAAGGGGAGGGACGGAAGGGGGAAGGAAACGTCCGGGGAGAGACCACGAACGCAGTGACGAGGCTGGAGAAGACCGCATAAGCAGCGGGTCGCGAAATAATAAGTGACCGGGAGATGAGGATGAAAAGGATTAGTCCCGGGTAAAGAGCCGGTAGAGGCCGAGGCAGGTTCAAGTCAGAGGAACGGGTAAACCAGGAGAGGCGAGGGATAGGGGAAGCAACAGGGACGACTGAGCGAGACACCCCCAGCATAAATAAGTATTCTGATTCTGACCAAGGAGGTCAGAGCGGCGGCGGCGGCGGCCTAAGGCCACGAGGAGGCCGCGCCACGAGGAGGCCGCGCCACGAGGAGGCCGCAAGGCCGCGGAGTCGCAGCCGCCTCGCACAAAGAGCGCCTCGCGCGGTCACCCACGCCGGTCGCGACTCTCTCGCGACGCGGCCACGACTCGCGGCGAGCGTTAAGACTCACAGCGGGCGAATGCGAGGAGGGGTGAGGGGCGAGCGAGCGAGCGAGCTACGATGGCGACGATGGCGACGGCGGTGGCGGCGGCCGAGGGAGGAGCGCGCGGGACGAGAGACCGAGCAGACGCCGGCTCCGGCGGAAGAGGTGGAAGCCGGTGACGTCACCTCCGGCGTGACGTCACGGCGCGGGGGGGTCGATCCACGCTCGCGGTGACGTAATTTCCTGCTCGTCGGGGGGGGGGGTAGGGGGGAGCAAATGGTTTTAAAAAGTCATTCATAAATTTTGACTTAAAACTTTCGTGGCTGCAGGAATTCATACTCTTTGGTTCTTTCGGTAAAGTCACGTAGATAGAAAATAATATAAACATAATAAAAGTGAGCGTACTGGCAGTCTATAATGTAGACTGTAGTCTGGTTTTTAAGCTGGTGAGCGTATTGGCATTCTTTAATGTAGAATGTAGCAATGGTTATTAAACTGAACCTGAGTGAGCGTACTGGCAGTCTATAATGTATACTTATTCGGGTTCTTTCAGTAATAAAAAAACTAAACACAAAAACCACGACGTTTCGATCGCAACACAAGCGGTCGTCATCAGGAAAAGGGGGGTTAGCCTCTAAAGGCAAACTTCAAATCAAGATTAAACTTGATAAAGGTTTAGAGATGGGCGTAGCCCAAGTGTGTCAGCAGCATGTGCGGGGCAGCTGATGTTAATGTTGAAGAAAAGACATGCAACTACACCAATCAAAGGGCCACCAGGCAATCATTACAACTCGCTCCACACACCCACACTGCTGATGGTGGAGATTGACAAGAAAAAACACAAATCAAGTCACGACCCAAAGTGGTTGATGACATCTTTACAATGATTGCTGAGTTTTTAACCATCTCGGTTTAAATTGTGTCTGTATATAGGGATGGCTTCATGAACGAATCTGTATCTGCGGCAGCAGTTGCATTGACTTTACCGAAAGAACCAAAGAATTGGTGTTAAGATGTTAAAACACCAAACAGAAACATTTGGCAAGGAATTATGTCCGCATTAACCACACACATGGCGATTTTAACGACTCAACATTTACATTTACCTGATCTGACCCCCCCCTCCTCTCTTATTATGGGTTAAAAAAAAGTGGTGGTGCTTCTGATTGATTAGATTTGAGTTTTAACACGTAGGCTTTCGGGACCGATATCATCCACATAATCCAGTTTTTTTTGTGATAAATCGCGCAAATATATATGTGTCGTTAAACCCGCCACCACCCGGCACAGCCAATTGATAAGGTTTGTCATGTAGAAAGAACATGCAAATTCCTTCCTAGTACCGCAAGCCAGGTGTGTTGGTTGGAGAGCCAAGCCACAACATTTAGATTTTAGGCGACGTCATTGTATTCCAATGAGGGTCAGCCCACGTGGGGGCAGTTGCACTCAAAGGGTCAAAGGGCTCTGCTTTGGTGGGGAGCGCTGCAACAGGCGTGAAATGAATCCGGGACATGATGAGCGATTCATTATTGTCCATGTGCAAGCAATCCGATCAGCGTCAAGGGGCGGCTTAAATATGGGCTTTCTTCGGTCAATAAATCACTAAAGATTTCTCTATAAGATTTTACATTTCGCAGCGATGCGTTCGAGTATAGATCAAGCTTTGTAGCCTTAAAAATAGATCGATTCTCGTTCAATCGATCATTGTACCGTTAAAAATACGTCGATTCCCGTTCCACAATTCCTGATACGGGCAAATCCCACGCCGGATGACTCCATATATGGGCCTTCTACATTAACATAATTTATAATTAATTCCGTCGCAGATTCATTGTATCCTGTTACAGCGCGTCACTCAACACACGGAGGGGGGCTGGTGACGTGCTCGCCAAGTTTGGACTCGGCACTCACCACTGCAGATGATTTTGAAATGCAGTGTTCACTCTTTTCAAAGGTGATGGGGGGGGGGCACTTTCGCCAATAAAACAGAAGTCAGTGTATGAGGCCCACCACACATTTTAAACCATTGGGGTTGACAGCACGATTTGGGGGGGATGTTTTCACATTCGTGTAAAGTATTGTCGTGGGTCCGCACCAAAGGCCAATCGGGATCGCCAATGAATGAAGAAGAATTGGAGTTACCTATAAGTTTATATCCAATACACATGATATATTTGTAGATGGGTGAGCCCATTGAGCGTGACCCGTTTTGGCTCCAGATGATTCAGAATGGATTGGCTCATCATGAATGTGACATCCCAATTCTCAGATTCCTCCACTGGCTCCCCAACCCTGCATATCAATTGCAAACCATGTTTTCAACATCCTCCACAGACTTACCCCTGTTTATCCCTCCCCTGCTCATCTCGCTCTACTAAACTTCCCCTATTACCCAGCGCTCCGACAACAAAAGGGCTTGTGTTTAAATTCCCAGTAAACCTGATTAGAGATCATTTCTATTTACGATTCGCCCCTGGCCATCGGCATAAACCTTTACACGTTCAAACACAAGCTCGAGTCCGTTCTTTGCCAATAGCTGCCTCTCATCGTTGTCGTTCGCTCTGTGTCATGGAAGTGTGTTTACCCTTGTCCCTCACTCCTTTTATGATGGGTAAAGGTGCATCTCTGCGATTGTTTGGGCACGCTGACGTTAGGCGGTTAGGGCTTCCATTTGCCAGAGATCTCGAGATAATCCCTCTGGAGGGTGTTTTTTGCCCCTGTTTTTTTTGCCGAGCTGTAAGAAGAGGTGGGAGTCCCCACACTTTACCCCATCACACGCTATCCAAATTTTGAACACAAAGGGGACATGCGCAAATCCCATACAACATGCGAGAAAAGCAAACGCTAATTGAGGATATAAAAAAAACCGACACTTGGTGGCACGTCATTGTAAGTTAAGTGTGGAAAAAAACGACTTTTTACTGGTAACACAATGTTACCCCTTGGCGAACAAAGATATGAGTGCATTACTATGTGCTGAGTGTTTAAACAGGATTAACCGAGTGATATTTAATCTTGATACCATATTTAAAGTTTATAAGTGTGTGATCTCCAAGGAGGTAGTGATGTACTGTAGTATTTTTAGCCTTAACTAAGTGGTTAATAATAGAGCAGTCGGCAGGTGGCGAGAGTTTGCTATATACGAAGCTGGGAGCTGCCTCGCATTGGGAAATATAACACGACATTAAGACACCCACTTTCCAACCTAATACATTGTGGACTGTCATAGTCAAAACTATTATCTTTACATTAAGCACACACATAATGTTTTCCAAAGAGGTGAACACGGGTATAACTGTGCTTTAGGGAAAAAAGGTGCATGTCATTTGGGTATGCAAAAATACTTTTGTGTTTGTCCTGTGAAAGGCAACCTTACAATAAACGTATAATGCTTGTCTTTGTGCTGTACGCCTTTTGGCGTCCTCTGGTCTAACACCGTTTGAGACGAGGCTCAAAAGAAAGCTGTCTCTGGTGTGGACCAATCACTTTCAAGGACAATGCATATATTATCAGAGTATGTTTTTTGTTTGGATTCTGACCACAAGTATTGAGGTTAATGTAGACATGATTCCTTCTAAAAGATTCAGTTTGGTGTTTTAACATCTTAACACCTGTTTTGTTGCCAGAAAAAAGGGGAAAACCCTATTATCATATTTTGGTACTGGCAAAAGAGGTCCCTTGAACGTAGTTTCTAGTTTTGATATTGCATATACAGAGAGTAAGATACAAAGTACAAAAACTGAATACTATTTGAAGTAGCTTAATTATTCAGCGATAAAAAAAATCAAAATTACTGCCCAGCATTTACATTGATTTACTATTTTGATAAAATACTCATATTGTATCAGCAAAGAAGCACGCCAGTACATTATTCTAATGGTAAAATGGCAGGCCAGCATGATGCATATACAGTATACAAGATAATTACTCAATTGGATTGAAAAACCACGGTATTCAAAGCATCTAATGATTTAATTACTGTGCTGCATAATTAAAAGTAGCATTTTGCATGGAATTATATCAATATGTGCATTTACAGTCGACACTCTATTAGCAAAAATGAGGTATACATATTCGCCCACAGCATTTTGTTAAAAAGTAGAAACATCCGTATAAAGAGCTCTGATTTTTTTTCATGTTTTAAAGGATATCCATAATCTGAATGCTAAATTTCATTAATAATGCATTTCACACATGGTCATGCAAAATGGTTCAATTACACCAAATTGGTAAATATGATAATCGTTTTGATGTGGTTATCAAGAGGGTGGACACTGTGGAAAATGATTGCTCATGCTTTGGGGCATTAATTGTTTTGCTTGTTGGGGCTTCAGGAAATACAGTACCGTATAGACCAATCATTGATAAATGTGGCTTTTCTATTCAATTTTCGATGTTTAGCATTTGATTATATGAAGGAATTACAATTTGTCAAATACAAAAGCCTGGAGTAATAGATTTTAAATACTACCACATTGCAGAAGCGCTATATCCAATATATCATCCTTTAAGTACCCGATGTCTATGCAGTGTAAGAACTGGTCATGCAATTAAATAATAAAATAAAATTTACAAACAAGCCATAAGTCATAATTGACATCGTAAATATATTAGAAGTTGTCGAATATGGATTTGTACAGGGTTACATTACAACAGCGTATTTTACGAATGATACATTTCA